TTCCCATCCACTTCGGTCCCGCTTTCAGCTCAACTGTCTACGAAACTGATGACATAGATGCAACACAGGCTGCGTTTCAGCTGTCAAAATTCACTAATCTTCAGAGCCGAAGTGCCGATCTACTTACTCAACGTGTCCAATGAAGGCACGAGAAAACAAACAAACAAGCAATGGCATGAATACGGCATATATAACCCCTTGAGCTACCACGAAAGATTCTTTTGGAACGCCGAGTTCACAGTTAATACCAAGTCACGTATCGAGATCATTGTTTTCTTTATTCCGGAGAACTGCAAAAGTATCATCCAATAATTATCTCACTCATCCCAGATCGGGGACTGTTTCGTGACGTGTTTGTCAAATTCATTCGTAGAGGATAACTGATTTGTGCGTTGGTTTTATGTTCTGGCCCGTTTAATTTGGGATGATCTGTCCAGACTCTGCAAGATTCATTGTTGTAGGTCCGTCGCTAATAAGGTGTACTTCGGTTTAATGTTCGAAACTGTGCATTCGCTCTTTCTATATCTATTCGCTCTAGCTCTGAAAGGCTGTTTTAAATTTTATTCAGTATGCTACCATGTACGATAGGAGTAAAGTTGATGCACGCTTTATACCAATTATGCCAATTAGTCTTGCATTTCTCGACATCGAATTCAATGTTTAGAAGTGCAAGGTTTTATGGTTGCCTCATACGGGTCGCTTTTCATACCTACTTAGAAATCAACATTACCGCGTGCTTCAAAGTGAAAGGATCTGAGAGTTATCGTACATGAGAATCTAGTTTGTTCAACACATTGCGTCAGAGCGTTATCAACGGGCATAAAACACGTTGGATTACTAAAACGTATCTTTGGATCATTCGATACAGACCTATTGCCCCGTTTGCCATCAGCGTGCATTAGAACATGGCTAGTTTGCAACCAAAAGGCACTCAAACGTCCGCAGAGAACAGCAACCAAAATGGCCAAACTCTTACAGTCTAAAACCTACGGTGAAAGGCTGCACATTCTGGGACTGCATTCATTTGAATACCGTCGACTATGAGGAGAAAGGATCCTAGTATATCAAATACTATATCAGTCTAAGCATCCGTTCAGTACTCCGTTAATACTACCCACGAATGTGCAACTGAGAGGCCATCCATTTATACCGTCACTCTGAAAGAGTCGGCTAGACTGCAGTCATCACGCTTTAAGCCTGGAACTACTCTCTTCCAACTCAAGTTGTTTAGGCTCCAACCATCGATTCATTCAAGTCACGGCTGGATGAAGCATTAAAACACTTAACTTTTCAGTACCCGTGAGTGAACGTTATAATTCCCTATCTAATTGTACCTTCAACCAAAGCCACTGGGAATAGATCCAATGGGATTCAATAAGCATCAGTTTTGTAATCTACCGCTAACAAAAATTTGAAAATTTGAAATTCGAATCACTGTATTTTTTTGAATTATAGCTCACGCTAACTATTCAATGTTGTCCTCGGATTACTATAAATATCTTTCCTGTTATTGAACAATACACAGTATTTGTATGTATTTTTGCATCGATAAGCAGAATATTTGACGCAATGCCTAAATTTGAGGAACACTTTTCGAGGCATTGAATTCTAAGGTATAAGTGAAGACAATCTATTGGATGACAGGAGATTGGGTCACATAGCGTCGCGTATAACGTGCAAGCCTGTAACTACTCGAAATCAAAAACAGAATTCGAAGTTTCATCGGCAACGATTAGCCACTCCAATCAGCTACTACCTTATTTATATATAAATCTAAAGGATTAGAACTGGAAACAAATAAATACTGACAGGGAACGGTATCCTACAACTCACCGTTTCAATATTCGAAAGAACGCAAAAATTCCCTGACCATCGGTTATATCATCCGCATAGAATGTGGTCATTCCGACATTTACGGTCGGCTGAAAAATCCACTCTGGTGGGAAATCACCACAAGCGTGAAATGACGGAAGGTTTCAGATTGAAAATCGGCTGTTAGAGATGTGTGCTGTGTGTATGTATGTTTGAAAGAAGTGGTGCATCAGCTCCCACCCCTTAGCCGGAATCTGGAGTAGCACACACAAACATTATAGACTCTCCCTCCCTCCCTCCTTCACTCGCCACAGGTCCGCACCTCGGATGGGGTTTCGTCAGGTGGGCGTTTTGTGCACAGCCGAACCCCATTGGTCAACAAACACGTATTGTTGCTGCTGCTGCTACCGCTACGGTTGCTGCCGTTTAGTGTGATGCTAGCTTGCCAGACTACGATTCTAAACCGGTTTTGTTAATCGCTCAGTGTTGTGTGATACCCAAACTCTCTGGCTTCGAAAACCAAGTTCCATTTCAGCACGCCGATAGCGTCGAGAGAACTGCACTTGACACGTCGACTATCACTTGACTTGTTTACACCCAGCGTGTAACAAAAGGTGTCGATACACAGTAAAAAAACATTACTCGGTCTAATTGCCAATAGGAAGGCAGTGTTCTCTATAGTCATTAGCACGTGACCAAGCAGTAGTTCACACCTACACACACACACACACACACACACACACACACACACACACACGTTGATGCGATTTTAGCACCTCCTACATGTGGCAACACACGACAAACTGTTCCCTGCATACGTTCATACCATCCGATTACTTTTCAAGTCCACTTGACGTGATACAGTTTGCTATGTTCGCTGATTCATCCATCTTCAAGTTTTCTCCAAAAGAGATTATCACCTATAGTATTAGAACCACCAATGATATATGCCTACGCATATACTTCGTATTAGGTTTATAAAAAGTGTAAATCATCACACAATCTGCTTGAAAAAAACCTACATTGTTCTCATGTAACATTTAGAAGCGCTAATTTACGGGAAAAGTGCACCCAGTAGGTGTTGACTTTTATCACGGAAAGTAGAAGACCTACACGAGTAACGTGCAAATCAGCTGGTTCTATTTACTGACCGATTGCGATGTACTAAGATATATTCTTTCTGATCGAATTCAGTTTTATTATATTTATCACTCATATTAATGCTTTAGGTATGAACTGTAATTTGTCTCATGCCTACTTCGATCTACGTAGTTTATAGGCTGCATGATTGACGAGTAAACGTGCCAGATCTTGATTACCAAAATAAAATAATCTCAACATGAAAACCGCCAACTCTGTGCAGTATGAAAATGCAATCTATTCCGATAGGAGTGACTCAAAAATTATACTAAATTGTTTCCATAAACCCTTCCCGTCTCGGTTATTTGTTATGAAGTACTATTTTATCCAATATATAATCCATAATGGCAACTATANTTGTATTCCATAGGATTTTGTAGTAATAATAATAATAATAATAATAATAATCTATTTTCTTTAGTTTGAAATTCGACAGATACCATTTTTGTCAAAGTCAATCCTGAAATCAAGGTCATTTTTGTGCACAGCTTGAACGTCCTTATTGTTATCATCAGAATAAAGCCAGCACCGCTCAACATCAAAAGTTTTCGTTATCTCAGTGAAGAGGACAGAAATAGAATTGCACGAGCACACAAGCTGGGATTTCCCCGAAAGGATTTATTCCACCATATGAGAGAGTTCGTCACTCGTCGAGATTATTCATTTGGGCAGGGATAAAACATGGTCAGCCTTGTCGGTGGACATCAGTTATAGGCACCATGAATCCTGAGAAATTCGTATCAGCACAATATTTTTCTCCACTGCATAATATTCGGAACAGAAACGTCTTAAAATGAGCGAGTCTTCCTTCCATCAACCTTGCCTTCTCATTTGATGTTTTATTAAGTTGACTAAAGGCAACAATGAATTACTCCTTAAGCGCCTGGTAGCATATTTCGATTGATTGAACGAACCCTTCAGTGTCTTTCTGGGGGCGTATAAAGGCATTCACTTGGGTTCCTCCTACCTTCTTCCTTTCTTCCTTCCTTACTTCCTTCGCCACCGCCAGAAGCTGTTAATTTTCTCACTCTGATTATCTGCTTTCAAGAGTGATACTCTCCATAGATATTTCCAATTTTTTTCAGGCAATCTTTCTTCCTCGTCCGCTGCTGGCCCTTCTCAAGTGTACAGATATTCTATTCACAGAGTATGTTTTTTTTTTACATCAGTCGAACATTGCTAATTTCCTACGGTCTATCTCAGATATGCATCGATTTTTATATGCCTTAGTCGATCGGTTCATCGAAAGCATACATGAACTGGTCTATATCTGCATGTCACCAACTTCGGCCCCATCCATTACAAACGAGGGCTAGTTAGGATACATTTATGATCGTGCGAGAAAAATGTATACGCCTGATAACATTGCAAATGAAATGCTGAAACTAAATAGCACTCTCCCGGACAATGGTTACCCAAGCTCTTTTGTGAAAAATTATAGCACTGGTGGAGTGACTGATATCCGTACCTAAGTGTAAGGTTGTCCTACAACTCCCGTTCAACGGTGATGATATGAGTAATTTGTTGGAGCACCGCCTAAGCTCATCCATCAAACGAACATTCAACACAGCCGAACTAGTCTTCGTCTACACATGTGACAGAATACCGGCTCCTTCAGTTAAGAAAACGCTTCCGCAGTATGTCAAATCCCATCAATTGTACCAGTTCTTTCCGTGGATGCTCGGCCACCAGCCTCGTCACGTGTTAGAGACTGGGTATCAGGTAAACGTGACCACAACATTTAAGTGTCCTCATCACGCAAAACTCTCGGTTGCTCCAGTGTGCAGAGATGATTGTTATAAAACGATGGAAGCCTGAACTGTGCAAGCAGGTATTTGTAACTGTGGTCTTAGCATGGTGGAAAGAGAAACAGCTCATCGGTGGTAAATGTTACTTGTTAGTTTTCATTATATTCTTCTACCATATTATGTACCTGAAGAGATACAGCGAAACCTTTAAGGAAATCATATCTGCAACACTGTGCTGCTGTGTTCTTTATTCAAGTCCATATCGGGAAAAGTTGTTTCAGCTACACTCCGGATTCTTCAATGACTTTCCAACTGTTTCACATGTATTTTTCGCACCCGTCAAACTTAAGTTCCTGATGCTTTATCTAAAACTCTCATTGAAAATATCTACCAAATGTCAATTTTTAAAGTACCTAATTACGGATTGAGCCAATCGGAAATACAGTATTTAATCTACTTTGCCCATGGTTCAGATTCCTACATAGAAGTAGTTTGTTACAGGCCCAAAGTGTGCTACCTCTAGGTGGCCTAAGCAGTTTTTCAACTTATTCTGTTTCTTGCCACAAATTCCCTACAAAAGTTTCCTGAGAGCAAAAAGAAGCATCACGATCACCAGAATGTGCTGAATTCAACTAGTATCGTGGCAATCTCATCAGCTCTGTACATACGTTCAGATCACGTTTGGTTAAATTATTGATGAGTTTGGGGAAAGACGAGATGGAGAAGAGAATTGGATCAATCCAATCACCTCGACTGGGTAAATTCTCTCTACTGATACCAGTCCTCCATCGGATCTGGCAGTTACCTGTGAAATCACTTGGCTCAAAAGGTATAAGATTTCCGGCAATGATAGACTATCTCCCTCTGATTTAAGGATGAAGGGTCACAGCCTTGGTTTCGGACTTGACGGAATGGTGTGAATCGGTCATTATACCAATATACAAGAAAGTTGGAAGGTCCTCTTGTGAAAACCACACGGGAATTAACTTAACCAACATTATCTCTAAGCTTTTGCTGGTATTATATT